ACATGGGGTCGCCATGAGTCAGAATCGACTCAGTGGCAACTAAGAACAACAGTGGTTATTTAGGTACTGAAAAAGCCGTCTTGCTCTTAAATCCCAGCTTTACCTCACCATCCCTTTGGCAGTCCAACATTTTGCAGTGCATTCTGACGGCTGCTTCTTGTTTGAATTCTTACCCCTTCCTCTCATCACAGTGCCTACTTCCTTCCACTTCACTGCTTGGCTGAGGTTAAAGTCTGCCAGTGACCTCTTTGTAACTAAATTCAGAGGCTTTTTTCTCTATTTTTAACTTCCCCAGGAGCTTCTGCTCTAAAATGACCTCCATACTATTCTTCAGGCCTTTCTCTTTTTTTCCTGTGTGCCCCACTCACGGCTTATCTTTTCTATAAAACTTTCCCTACGGGGTGGGATACACCTACCTCTTTTTAGTCCATATTCAATCGCTGCATATCTCATTCTCTTAACTTTGCTTTGTCCCATAGAATTCTTGCCTTCCATGCTGGAGACGGGATTCAATTCCTGGCCAATGCACCCTCTATCAGTGGAGGCTTGTGTGTTGCTATGATGCTGAACAGGTTTCAGTGGAGCTTCCAGACTAAGGCAGACTAGTAAGAAAGGCCTGGCAATCTACTTCTGAAAATCAGCCAGTGAAAACCCTATGGATCACAATGGTCCGATCCACAATTGACCGTGGAAATGGCACAGGACTGGGCAGCATTTTGTTCCATTGTGCACGGGGTTGCCATGAGTCGGGGGCCAATTTTAAGGCAGCTAACCACAACAAAAGTTGTTTTACTCCCATTATAAATGAAGATGAACTTAAGGAGGGAAAGGGTGAAAACCTGCAGGCAGACAACATTGAGAGTCCTCTCCTTACAGCCTGAAAATAATCAAACCCTTGGGATAAATTCATCACAGAGCCATACAGTGCTATTAACAGATCTACAGCATCAGTGTCACCAGGGAGCTTGTTAGAAATGCAGGATTGTAGGCTCCACCCTGACCCAATGAATCAGAATCTAGGCTTTTAATAAGATCCCTAGGTGATTCACGTGTACATTAACGTATGAGAAGCACTGGTCTAGTGGACCAGTCTGTGCCCACCACTACCGGCCTCCATCAAAAGGGCTCCAAGGACCCCATGGGAACCTCAAACCAGTGATTTTCACCTCTAGCTAGGCAAAATGTGATGTGAGGGTGATCTGGCTGCCACAGTTCTCTCTCCTTTGATGGACAGGGTTGATTTGATTAATATCCTGGTTAGGGGTGTGGCCTCCCTCCCTCATCACTCTAGGTACAGAGACATTTCTCAGAAGCTGCAAAAGGGTTTGAAGAGGATACTCTTTCCTAAGTGTGCAAGACTGTTTTTCAAAAAAGGGTATGGGCATACTTATAGAATCTTTGGTAAATGGACACATCCTACTAGGAGTTAGGAAACATGGTTTCCATAATCATTCCCAACCAGAAATGTGTATGAACAACACAAAATAGAAGATATGAATTTCTCACACTCTTCATTCTTTAGCTCAATAGATATTTATTAAGCACCTGCTAGGTCCCAAACAAGGAGCTCTGGTGGCATAAATGGTTAAAGCACTCAGCTACTAACCAAAAGGCTGGCAGTCCGAATCCACCTAGCGGCTCTGTGGGAGAAAGACCTGGCGATCTGCTTATGTAAAGACTGCAGCATAGAGATGAGAAGGCAGAGAGGGTCAGGAGCTGGTTGAATGAACACGGGAAATCCGGGGTGGAAAGGAGGAGTGTGCTGTCACAGTATAGGGAGAGCAACAAGGGTCACATAACAACGTATGTATAAATTTTTGTATGAGAGACTAACTTGAATTGTAAACTTTCACTTAAAGCACAACAATTTAAAAAAAAAAAAGACTGCATCCAATAAAACCCTACAGAGCAGTTCTACTCTGTAGCACATGGCGTTGCCATGATTCAGACTCTACTCGATGGCAATGGGTTTGGTTTGGATGTGCTAAATAATAATTCATGTGGTGGGGATACAGTAGAGAACAAAACCAAGTCCCTGCCTGGGGAGGGTGGGTTTTCATTTTAGTGGATGGAGACAAACAACAAACAAGTACATAATATGGCGGGTAGTAATAAGTGCTATTCTGAAAAAAAACTGAGTAGGTGGAGCCTACTATTTAAGATGGCTGGTCAGGGAAGTCCTCTCCAAGGTGAAGACGTTTAGGAATATACCTAAATGAAATGAGGGAGCAAGCCATTCAGATATCTGGGGAAAGAGAATTCCAATCAGAGGAAACAGCTAATGCAAAGGCCTTGAAGTAGGTACACGTGTGGAGTGTTCGAGGGACAGCAAAAAGGCCAGCGTGGTTGGAGTAGATTAAGTAGGGAAGACAGCAGAATGAGATGAGACTAGAGAGGTGGGTGGAACCATATCATGTAGGGCGTTTAAGGAATTTGGATTTAATACCAAGTGTGATGGGAGCCATTTCAAGATTTTGAGCAGAGGAGTGACATGATCTGACCTGTATTTTAAGAGGATCTCTCTGGGTGCTGTGTGGAGGATAGACTAGAGGGGCAAGAGTGGAAGCAGGCAGTCCTAATAGGAAGCTTCTGTAATGGTTCATAGAAAGATGTGGTCGGTTTAGGTTAGAGTGGTCGTGGTGGTGGTCATTGTGAGAATGGATCCAATGATTCTCAACCTTCCTACCAAAGACTATTTAAAAATTTATGTCACCAGGAGACTGGGGTGGATTTTTCTTGTCTTGTATTCAAAACTGGCTTAGATGTAGAAGACAAAGAATAGAAATAATAGGGCTTCTCTGAGTTGAACAGTGTTAACAGTATCCCCTGGGAATCAGTGTTATTTAACATTTCATAAATGATTAAGAAAAAGGAATACTTTGAGACATGTCTAGGTACACAAATCATACTCTGCTTTCCACATAGTGAAATGTCAAGTCAACAGGGAGCATCTTCTGGAACATTTCTAAAGCAATGTGAATAGGCTGGAAAGAGGCAGGTGTCTTACCATGTGGACAAGTGTAAGGCAGCTCACATAGGGAAAGACAATTCAGATGATACTTTAAAGAGAATGAACTCTGAACTACCACCAAGGGAAGCCATCTAGAAGTCTCTGTAGATCATTCCTTCAAGACATCAGCTGTTCTAAAGTCTGAAAGGCCAGCAAAAGTTCTGGATGTCCAAATAAAGAGAAAACATCAGCTTCAACAAAAGCTCAGGACAGCCATCTCGGGGCTCAGTGTACAGTGCTGCTCACTGCATCTGAAGAAAGAAAAGAGCCCTAGAAAGGTAGCTAAAATGATTAAAAAAAAAAAAAAAGATAGAGGGCCTTTTTTTTTCCGATGGATTAAAAGCCCTTAAAGGTGACTATCTGAGAGGAGATAAGATGAAAGTCTGTAAAAGTAGGAAAGATTTGGAGGGGGTAAAAATAGCCCCTTTCATACAAGAATCCTTAATTCTGGAATTAGACAAAAGAAGCTTGAAAATGGGGGTGATGTCTTTGTAGAAACAGGCCGATAAAAGAAGGTACTTCTTTAGACAGAGGGTCCTTAAGTATATTCCAACATGTGGTAGGACATGTAGTAGCAGTAAATAGGGGTGGGGGAGGGACAGCCGGTTCACCTCAAAAGTCTCTACTTCCATAGAGGCAAAGAACATCCTTGTTGGGGCAAAAACTACTCTGGACTACCTCCCACTCCCACTCTCTGTAAATCACCATGGTTTACAAACACAGAAACTTAAAAAAGAGTAAAACACCAAAAAGGCATTTAAAGGATTTAAAACGCTAATTTTAAATCTCATTTTGAGTCAAAATTAGACTGAAAATAAATTCAAGGGTGAAATATTTATACTAGATTAGTAAGGGAAATTGGAGCCCTGGTGGCAGAGAGGTTAAGAGCCTGGCTGCTAACCAAACGGTCAGCAGTTTGAATCCACCAGGCGCTCCTTGGAAACCCTATGGGGAAGTTCTACTATGTCCTAGAGTCGCTAAGAGTCAGAATCTACTTGAGGGCAACGGATTTTTAACAGGTAGTAAGGGAAATTAAGGGGAGGGGGAAGGTACATCGTTAATCTTTGTCATTCACACCATGGAGAGCTACTATGTTCTAGCAAGAAATAACACTTGGCAGTTTGAACTGAGGAGCCCTGGTGGTGCAGTGGTTGAGCCTTTGGCTGCTAACCTAAAGGTCAGCTGTTGGAACCCATCTGCCACTCTGCACAAAAAAGATGTGGCAGTCGGCTTCCTTAAAGATTTACAGCCTTGGAAACCCTATAGGGCAGTTCTAGTCCGTCCTATACACTGCTTGTCAGCATCTGGGTTCTTACAGTGAGTTATTGATTGAAACAGGGATTAGATCATTTGAATTTCACCCACAGCACAAGTCCTTTAAGAGTATTCAATTAACAGAGGCCAGGGAGACTCTGTGATGAACCAACCGTTACTTACCGTGTTGAACAGTTAGCAGCTCTAGGCTATCGAATCCATATCGATCCTCCTTCACAGATAAAAAAGCACGGCCCAAACCCAACAAGAAAGGGGGAAGGTAATAACTGAGTGCCACTGAGTTGAGAGATGTTAAAAATGGACCGCCATCAACACATAGGCCCTTACTTTTAGGTTAGAGATTTATGTCTATAAAGACATTATCAAGCTCTCTCCTTCCAAAAACTATTAGATTCAGGAACTCAAGAGACATCTTTCACCCCAAAGAAAACTGTACCCTTTCCTCCTTCCAATAAACCTCTTTCTTTACCTGCTTCTCCTCCCAAGGGGTAGGAACTTTCAGCTCCGCCTCCCTGCTCGTCCAAGCTCCGCCTTCCTGATCCACCTGTGCGCCCGGCCCTTGACGCTACCGTTCGGCTTCAGCAGCTTGCAGGATTTGGGCTTCCGATTGGTCTGCCCGTTCACGGCCTGCAGAGCTCACCAATGGCAGCGGCGCTGGGTGGGGGGTTGCCCACTTCCAAGATGGCGCCCCCAAGAGCTGGAAGCGGGTGACCCGCGGCGGGGAAGCGGCCTGGGTTGGCCCTCCGGTTGCGGGGTCGTGGGGGCGTCACGCCGGGTACCCCCGGCCCGCCTACAACGCCTTCCCCGGGCCAGAGCAATGGCCTCCGAGAACAGCAAGCAGTTTTGGAAAAGGAACGCCAAGCTGCCGGGGAGGTGAGCCCAGGACGCTGAGAGGGAGAGAGGACTGGACCAAACCCCTGCAGATTCTAAGGTCTAAATCCCGCGGGCCTGGGGCGCCACGGATTCCGGAAGGCTGGTTTGGGGAATCCCGGTGGGGGAGCGGTGACCGCCTGGTGGCGGCAGGGCAGCTGTCAGGAAGAGGAACGGGCGGCGAGCTTTTGGGGACGGCTGTGTGTGGGAGCAGACCAGAACCTGGGGGCGGAGGTCTCTGGAGGGGCTGTTCTCAGCCGGGAGGTGGCCGGAGGCCGGACGTAAGGGGTAGTGGAGTTGGGTGAGTAGCCAGAGTCGGCTCTGGGTTCGGAGGGCTGCTTCTCACTTTAAACAGAACTCCTTCTCGGGGGTCTCCACACAGGTGGTTGCTTTCACGAGGATAGCCCCTTTCCTGGGATAACTCTCAGTTTGACATGTACGAATCTTTCTCCTGGGCTCTTCAAAGATTCTGTTGGGGCCGCCTGCGGGGGCGACAGAAAAATTCTCCAACCAGACCTTACTTTATCTTGAGTTGGCCCTTTCCGATTAGGAATTTTTACAAGGTGACCCCAGAATCGGGGATATTTCTTTGCCATTTCGCAAGGATTTGGCCAACCCTAGAGACCTCTTCCTCTCCTGTGTTGTAATGCTGTCTTGTACAAATGTACCAAATCCTATCAATTTGAGTTGTTTGGTTGGAGAGCAGACCTTCTAAACTACTTTTTTCTTTCTTTTCTTCTTCTTTTTTTTTTTTTTTTTTTTTCTTTTTGGCGTATATTG